ATTCATACGGTGGGTGGGGAGCACATGGAGGTGGCGCTTTCTCTGGGAAAGACTCGTCTAAGGTATCGTATCGACTACCGGTATATCAACAGTCGATTAATAATTGATTAATCATATTGAATCATAACATGCTGCAACTGTTTGTCCCTTTAATGAATTCTACGATGGTCATTTTAAGTCCCAGCCATGCACTTTCAAGACACGTTTACATTTATAGAAATTGTAGTAAATTTAGAGTAAAATTGTATGTTGACCCGAAACAATAATTAGAGGTTACCTACACCAAATAATAGCCAAAGTTCAATTTTGCTCATGCATTTTGTAAATTTTTCAATCTGGTGTCTCGTTATATAAGTGGAATTTGATAGCGAGTATGAGTGTGGGTATAATATGCAAGAGATGCCAATATGACGTATATATTACATGCATAACGCTGTGTGTTTCAGGTGGACCGCTCAGGAGCCTATGCTGCAAGATGGGCGGCGAAGTCTCTTGTAGCAGCAAAACTTTGCAAACGTTGTCTTATCCAAGTTTCGTACGCCATTGGTATTGCAGAGCCTCTGTCAATCTCTGTGTTCTCGTATGGTAGTGGGGAAAAAAGTGATGAGGAATTATTAGAAATTGTGAAAAAGAATTTCGATTTTAGGCCTGGCATTGTGGTTAGGTAAGGAAAAAAAAATTGTTTCTTTAGCCCTTATTGCACCTGGGAGAACAGATTAGAACTGACAAAGCTATCTAGTATAAATATTAAGGTAGTTTAGGTCTCCCCCTGTCGGGATCAATAAGGGATGTATGTCCCTTACTGGACTTCTGAGGAGGACAGTTAATTGGAACTGATAGACCTTTCCAATTCCGTATGAATAAAGTTAGTTTAGGTTTCCTCCTGTCGTTACAGTAGATCGATTACCAATTAGACAACGAGACAAGTTGTGTATGTAATGTTTACAATATGAGCGGCCGTATAATGTTTACAATATGAGCCGCCGTTACAATATGAGCGGCCAACACGGATTGGCGAAGTAATTTTAAAAATAAACGTTGTCTAAGCCGAGAAAATCAAAGTTAAAGTTTATGTAAATCAACATGAATCTGTATCACATATACATATACGACACGCTTATGATTTTTCTTTGTGTTTTCTTCATGAATTATTAATGAGTTTTTTAATAGTGAATAGTTAACAAAGGCGTAGCTTGAGTTGACTGTTCGCCATTGACAACGAGACTTAGTTTTCTAATTGTTTTATTATCCACTAGCTCCTACTCAAGGTACAAACAGCCAGCACAACTGGAAAGATTTTTAAAAAAATTGAAAAGCATGCACCAACATTTAAATGATTTTTTCGACCTTCGCATACTTCGACCTTTTGTTTACTTTTTGCAAGCCACCCAACGAAATTAGTTTTTTAAAAATATACAGCTTGTGTGCTTCAAACATTGTTTTAAATTAAAACAGACCGGTATAACAGTCATGCTATTAAAGAAAAATATAATTAAAGGACGAGGAAACGAGATTAAAAGTCCAAAACTTAGAATGTTTTCAAATTGTATAATATGGCTTCCCGAAATGTTGCAGTAGTCTAAGCTACGTTAAAAAGTCCTATATAAAGCACATAAAGCATTATCCTAATATAATTAAAATCGACGAAATACTCAAAACACACAAAAAAGACTATTCAAAGGTAAAAACCTTAAATTCTTCAGTAATTGCAGTAAACATAAAACCACATGTAATTAAAGACAAGAAAACACTTAAAAGACTGGGAAATATCGTTAAGTAACCATAAGCAGTTGTAATTTGATCTATTCTAAAACTATATCGGAGTGACAGACGACTACAGACGAGTAACAGACAAGTACAGGCATGCAAGTAACAGACGAGTAACGGCGTGTAACAGACGAGTAACAGGCAAATACAGACGACTACAGACGAGTAACAGACAACTAAACAGGGAATGGAGCAAATAGATAGCGGGGCAAACGGAAGTTCGAGACTTTGGGTGTGGGGAAACGGGGAGTGGAAAATCAGAGAGTGAGTGAACTTGGGCGTACCACGACAGCGGAGTGGGAGAACCATATAACCGTATAGAATGGGGAATGGCGGAGCCAGAGAATGGGAAATGTGCCGGAAAAAGGCTAACCGAAGAAACTGTGTAAACTGCATAAAAATCTATAAACAAAGCAGACGCATGGAAACTGACTGTGGCGCATTTTTAATATTTTGTGGAAAGATATGTGTGTGAATTAAGATATCAATAACCTTCAGGCTGCAATTAGCCTGCTCACAGACGTTGTAGTTCTTACGCCAAGCGACGAAATACTACCGTCTGCTTACCCGAGCTGCATATTCAATTCCCTTTGTTTTAGGAGCCAATCATCTGGCAATTGGCCAATTGGAAGCCGCCTTATTGAGAGATTAGCTAGTGGGGAAAGCCCTTGCACATGCATTGGAATATATTGTTTGGGTTGAAACTTGAAATGGGCTATCCCTGGAATTCTTCAGGGGTAAAGAGTTTTGAGCTTGGAATTCTTCAGGGGTAAAGTGTTTTGAGCTTGGAATTCTTCAGGGGTAAAGTGTTTTGAGTTTGGAATTCTTCAGGGGTAAATGGTTTTGAGCTTGGAATTATTCAGGGGTAAAGGGTTTTGAGCTTGGAATTCTTCAGGGGTAAAGAGATTTGAGATTGAAATTTTTCAGAGCTTGGAAAAAAGGTTTTGAGCGAGTTTTGAGCTTGGAATTTTGGAATTCTTCAGGGGTAAAAGTTTTGAGCTTGGAATTCTTCAGGGGTATGACAATGAAAAACATGTATCCTCGACAGGGGGTACGGATATTAAATGGAATAGCCCAATTTGTTTACTTGCGTGGATATATTTTGGAAACTATAGCGTTGAACTTCACGATGTTTACGTAGAATAATATTGTGATCATCTTCTCCCATGTTCAGCAAACAATCGGTGTATATAAAGTGCTAAAGCAATGCAGTAGGCGAAATTTAAATTTTTGTTAACAATGACGAACAATCAATCGGGAAACTCGAGTATATCAGGATATGTTTTGAGTTTGGAATTCTTCAGGGGTAAATGGTTTTGAGCTTGGAATTCTTCAGGGGTAAAGAGATTTGAGATTGAAATTTTTCAGAGCTTGGAATTCTTCAGGGGTGAAGGGTTTTGAGCTTGGAACTCTTCAGGGGTAAAAGGTTTTGAGCTTGAAATTTTTCAGGGGTAAAGGGTTTTGAGCTTGGAATTCTTTAGGGGTGAAGGGTTTTGAGCTTGGAATTCTTCAGGGGTGAAGGGTTTTGAGCTTGGAATTCTTCAGGGGTAAAAGGTTTTGAGCTTGGAATTCTTCAGGGGTAAAGAGTTTTGAGCTTGGAATTTTGGAAGTTTTGAGTTTGGAATTCTTCAGGGGTAAATGGTTTTGAGC